AGTAAATAATTTAAGAAATATATTCATGACAGAAAATTCTCAACAATTATATTTTTTTTAAAGTTATTTCGTTATAAATTAATTTGACCAAAAAATTATTAAACTTTAAAAATATTCTAAAAAATAAGCTACTTGACTTATACAAATATTTTTACCATAACAATTTTTCTTATAATCAGATTCATAAATAGGCTATTTTAGATTTATCCAAATTTTTTTTTTTTAGATCTAAAATATAAACATAAAAAAGTGTATTATACATGTAATGCTAGGATCACTTAATGAAAAAAAAAATAAATATTAATTTGAACAAAAGTCATTTCATAAGTTAGTTATATCTGTTACATCTTGTATATTTTGAGTTTTAGAGAATAAAAATGCATATTTTTCTAACTAAATTATGATTTTCAAAATTCTTTATTTAAAAATCAATTGTGACCAAATTTAAAATTTATAATCAACTTAAAACTAATTAATACTTTGAATTAAAAAATAATTTTAATTTTACTGATTCTGTAATAAATTACTGATCTTGTTGGTATCRGTAAAGCACTATTCCGTACGTTTTACCTTTCTGGGAATACGATTTCGTACGATTTTTATCAAACAAAAGTTTGTTAAAATGACTCCAAAAACAACATGGTTACGTACCATACAAATCTTAGAATTAACTATAAACTGTACTCTTTTAAATTTAAAAACGTTATAACAATATAGAATTTTTACAAATATACTTACCATATGACGGTGGTAATAATCGCTTGTCATAGATGTCAGCATTCAATAAATGATCAAGTATATGTTTGTCCGATTTTCCATTTTCAAATCTTACACAAAATATACATTTTTATCAATCTACTATTGTCTAAAAACACTTATTTGATTTTTGAATCATTAAATAGGTGTTATTTAAAGTATAAACAGCTATATTCAAACGCATAAAATAATATATATATAAAAAAAAAATTATATTGCTTTAAGTAAGTTATAATTATTTTATAAATTCAAAGTTGAGTGCCTATCTATACTCTATCCAGCAAGAGAACATATCGAAACTGGTTCTCTCAAACAACATCCCAACATAGGGGGTTCAATATCAGGATGATGCGAGGAGATGCTCTTCAAAATCAGCATGTTATCTCGCTGAACAGAGTATAGATATTTAAACAATATTTTGAGATAATTCTGTAAGATGCGTGAGCCATGGGTTAGTTATTCTCCGTGTTGTATGGATTTTAAATTGTAGTATTAATCTTTAACCGATTTATTGAAATCACATAATCACATTCTAATAACAAATTCCATCTGTACTCTAAAATAATAATAACTGCCGTTTATAAAACCCGAATTTGAATTACTGTTTTTGAAAAAATATTGATAGGTTCTTAGGTAACAAATTCACTAAAACAGAATAACAGAATATCACTACAAAATCATTGAACTGTCCTTGCTCTAAAAAATTTAATTTAAAATACATAATGTACAAATGATAACACATGATGTAGAACACAAAAATAGTAACTTTGTTATTATTAAATACGTTTTAAATATAATTATATTAATTTAACATATAGAAGATAAAATAATTTATATATTTTAATTTTAAAATATAATTATTTACTATCATAGAACAGTTCAAAAAWTTTTTTTTATTTCTATATGTCAGATATTTCAAATAATTACTGTATTAGTATATTTAGTTGAACATTTGCTATTTAGCTCAATTATTTTTTTTTGTTTTTTGCAAAACGTATTAAGTATCCTAGGAATAAATTAATAACCATTTAACGCCAAAATCAACTAAAAAGTAGGTAATAGGTACGTATTTTATATAATTCACTAAATTTATTAAATCACCATAAACACTATAAAATGTCTTCCAAATCCATTATCATGGACATGTACTATTAGTGCATGAAGTCGAATAACTCAAAAACTATTCGTTAGAATTTTGATTCTGGTGTGTGCAAATTTCCAGAAAAATTATCTTCTAAATAATTTTTTGTAAAAATGAGGTGTTCTCATTTGAAAAAATAGAAGCTTGTATTTCCACAGGTTACTTTTTAASTAGTATATAAACTCATACACACACACACATTACCATTACGGCCATATCATAAATTTATACTTATTATAAACATTAATTTTTTATAAAGCATAGCATATTAATTAGTTATTACTTACTTGAATGGTACTTCTTTAGGCTGCAATGATTCTGAATATTTCAAAACTGATACGTAAAGTATAGATGTGTACAGTATTTTGAAAAAGTTCATCGTCCTAAGATAATAAGTAAAAAATAATTATCTAGAATTAATTAATCTAGAGTTCAAGTTTAAATACAAAACTTGAGTTATTAATTAAGTTATTGGTAAAAGTACCAACATCACACTAGTATAACTAAGATATGAATGAAATACTTCATTTTTATAACACATCCACGTTCGTATAATTATTACATGTATTATACACATATACATTTAAATTATCAGTTATTGATAAATTATTAGACATACGAATTGCTCCAAATTCTTAGATATCGTAAAAGCATTTATCAAGCGCGTTATTTATTACCATAAATAGAATATTATTAAAAAAAAAAAAAAAAAAAAAAAAAAAAAAAACACTTATTATATAGCAACTATATGACTGTAGAAAAAATGTATTTTATTTTAATCTATCAGCTGCTAAATATGTGAAAGTAGTGTTAGTTATCTATTAGTCTTAATCATAATATTAAAGGTAAGTTAGAAATGCCCGACTTCATGAAAAATATGGCAATTTTATCGTAACAGAATAACTAAACGATTTTCATCATATTAGCGTTTTTATAACTATACCATATTTGCTCTTTAAAATTATTTTATATTTAATACTACACAATTGATCACTAATCACCATTAAATTATCTTATAGTCAATCAATAAATAATTTTTTGACGTTATTACTCCGTATTCGTATCAACTTCCATCGAAAAATTATCTGACATCATAAAACATTACATTAAAAAAATTAATTTAATTTATAAAGAACAAATTATTTTTAAGAAACTAATCGACACTTTTTAGCAATACGAATTATAAGAATCACATCTGGTCAGTTTTATACATAATATAATATAGGCAGGTATAATATGGTATTTTATTGGTTGGTTTAATCCTCATCTGTTTTTTGACCTAGTTCTTCGCTCGAAACAATACACAAAACGTTATATCATACTTTTCGTTTGATCGTGTTTTTAGATCACAATAGTTCACTGATTTAAAAAATATCGTCTTWTTTGTTTGGAAACTAGGCAATGTAGGACAATGTATAATATTAATACGTTCAGAATGAGCAACGTTCATATTATGAAGTATTATAAAAAGAAAAAAAGTCCTTTGAAAACGACCACACTTCGTGCGCATTCGTTGCTCATTATACACTCGCCTAAATCCCGTAAATACAGTATTATATGGGTTGCTGTTTTCTAGGCTTTTTACACTGATGCACAGTAAAAGACTTTTGATGTGCATGTTATTATTATTATTATTTTTTTTTTTTTTTGAATAACCGTCACTCTTCACACGTGAATAAAAATGAATGCGCACATTTTTCACCATGACAATTCGTAATACAATATATTATGGTTTACATCATATATATCATATGCATTATTAATGTAATAGTTTCRTCCAAAAAACATCGGTTGAGGTAAAACATATTTCTTATGCTGCACTTAGGACCACTATATAACATTATACCTATACTATTCAAATATTGTAATCGCGGTTACTAAACTGTAATCAAATGTATRTATACGGTCAACGGGGTACGTTGTCGTCGTATATTCCAATAATCAATTAAATTTGACATATCATGTGACTGCATATCAGTTCAATACAAGTTATGAGTGCGATCTGATCATTAATTCTAAAATGTAAAAATGATATGTCGCTCTGCTTAACAGTAGGTAGTTTACAAATGGGTTACTGTAATGGGTGGTATTAAAGTTGAATTCATTGATATAATATCATTGTATTCGAAAAACGATTCTGAGTGGGGACGGTTTGTCAGTTTAAGATATTTTATAACATGTTAATTATGTCGTTATTTAAAAAAAAAAAAAAATGTAGGTATACCTATAAAATAAACTTCAAATTGATTAATTTGATTAAATCAGATTCATTATATATAGGTACCCGACTCACTCAAACATTAACGACATGAACTATGAAAATTAGAATATAAAACAGAGATGGAAAACGCTTTTGAAAAATTAAAAAAAAAATGTTATTAGATCAAAAGATAAAAAAAAAAAACTTAACTAAGAACTAAAACAATCAATACAACGAAAACGAAAAAAAACGGAATTAATTAATAAAATGAAAACGAGATTGAAAAATAAAATAAATTATAGCATTATTACACTATAATTATACCGCGAAAAAAAATAAAAATACGTTACGTATATAGTATTTACTTACTCTTTGGTCTTTAGTTCTTTATCAATGCATTAACAAAAAATAAAAACGTAATTTAATTTAATTTTAATTTTAAATTTTCTTATTTCCATATATAAAATATTAATTATAATTTTGATTTAAAATTGAAATATTAAGAATAATTAATTTTAACTTTTAAGTGCATTCTTATTATATTGATTGTTACTATATAAGTTAGGTATAAAAAAAAATAAAAAATTAATTATCAAAAACTTTATTTGGAACAATATAGAAAAATAACGTTTTTAAAAATGTTATTTGGGAACGATATTTAAAAATAATGATTTAAAAACGTTAATCAAAAACAATATTTTCCAAATTCAACTATCAAAAACGAAAAAATTAAAAACGTTTTCCATTCTTCATACTATACTCTAGAAATTTAAGTATTCTCGAATAACATTTTTAAATTACAACAATATAACTAAAATTGTTAAGCTTGATTATTTAGTATGTGATTTCTTCAAAATTTGAACTTAAAATAACTATAAAAAAAAACTGTGTTTGTGTAGTTTTTAGATTTTTTTTGCTATAAAATTAAATACTTACGTGAAACCTAGTATACACTTTCAATCCTAAGCTATTAAAGTTCAACATTTTATAGATTTTTAACAATTAAATAATTTGTGAATTTTGAATTAAATTCATTTTGTCAACATTTTAAATTAAAATGGTTATAAAAAAAATAACACGCCTATGTATTTTTATATTTTCCAACTATTATATCAACTAATGGGGAAACTTATATTAAATTTTTAAGTTTTTTTACCCAATAAATAACATTTTATTTACATTTATAGAATAAAAAACAAAAGAAAACATAAAATTTCAAATGTCTATAAATAACTTAAACATTTTTAAAATATTTTGAAAATGTTATCAAGTACAGAAATTGATATAATAATAAACATAATATGGTTAAATTTCGAATTCTTAAAACTATTTGTTTTTGAATTACAACAAAAATAATGATTTCCGTACAAGAGAAATTGAGTGAATATTCAATGTTGTAATTCAAATGCTCATAAAAATTTAATTTGACTTTCCGGTATAATTAAAAACGGTAAAAAGGAGTAAGACAGGGGTGTATCTCGTCCCCTTTGCTGTTAAACTTGTACATTGAAGAAGAAATGAAAGAATTGAGAACAGAGATAAAGAAAGGAGTGCGAATAGAAGGAACAATGGTTACTGCATCAAGATTTGCGGACGTCATAGCTTTTGGCGCGGAAAATAAAAACTACCTACAAAATATCCCTAGTAGCAATAGATAGAATACTAAAAAATAAGGATGGAATATTACTGAACAAAAAGAAAACGAAAGTTATGGTATGCATCAAAGCCAATCCGGTTCGACTCAACTTAAATATCGACAATGAACAAATAAAATAAGTACAGCAATTCACATATCTAGGAAGCAATATAACAGAGTATGCCGCGCTAAAACAAACATAATCTGCAGAATAGCACAGTCGATAAGAGCCTTTTAAGATAAAAGCCACATATTAACTACCAATGGTGTCAGCCTGAAGAAAAGGAAAAAATTCCTAAAAAGTTATATATGAAGTGTACCCCTCTTTGAATCCGAAACCTGGACAATAACTTCAATGAAAAAAATAGGCTAGAACTAGAAACCATTGAGATGTGGTGCTTCAGAAAAATACCATAGATCGAGAGGGTTACGAATTAAAAAATACTAGAGAAAMTAAAGGAACAATGACAAATATGGAAAAGTATTCAATCAAGAAGAGGCAAGATGAAAGGATACATAATATTATTATATATTTATCAAAATTAATGAACTTATTGATGTTTATCATATTTTATTGTAATCTGTACGTATATTTGTATGTAGGGGTACGTTTTTACATCTAGGTGATTAAAAAAATTCTATGATAAGTTTTAATAGATTGTGAGAATTTGGTTCTCTAAGAGTTAAGTAAATATCTGATTGTTTGGAATACGATTGCATACAGCATGTAAAATAATAAAAATTTGAATTGAACTCGGCTAATAAACACGCATATAAGTGTGGTTTGTTCTGTCGATATACATGTATAAAAATGTACACGTACTTATATATTGCTTATTTGAAATACCACAATGCACAGGTACAAYTTAACTTTTAAGTACATATTATACTAACATCTGAGCACCAAACCATATTTTTTTATTTCTGCACTTTAAAATTCGTTACATGGAAGGAAAAACAATACACCACGTTTCCATTAGACTGTGGAGCGTTGCGGTTCTGAAACATTTTGTACTTCTGAAGATATATATATATGTTTAATACAATAACATACTACATTCACAGTGTAAAATAAAAGTGTCTACCTAGTCGGATTTAGAAGCAATTCAAAAAAACGGCGTGAATATAATATTATACTTTCAACGTTTATTTTACACATTGAATCAACGCCCAAACGACTGTTTTCATTGAAATATTGTTTCCCAAACGTTAAAAAATGCATTAAACATCGTATAGTTAAACGTGCATATGTATATTATGTTTGCATATATTCCATTTGCAGCAGAAAACGTTGTTGATAAAATAGAACTCTGTGGAAAATAAGTATAGTATAAACTCTTTGTGTTCCCTACTCGCGTTATAATGAACTTTTGAAATATTTCTCATATACGATGTGTGTACCTACTGTATACGCTGATTGYTGGTATATTATACACTTGTAYACAGTAATATACTTATAAAGACATACAAAGTATAACAGTGCTGTTTTCGACATTGTTACTGATTTGGCTTTCTGTTTTATTTTTTTGATTCTGTTAAGAAAATTT